GGATGTGGCCCCAGTTGGGCCCCAGCCAGCCACGTCAGCACAGGCGACCGTTCAGCTCCCAACTGTCAAGGGTTTGTTGGCTCCGTTGATGTGCTGCCAGCAACGCATGACTGGTAGAAGAAGGTTGAGGGCGAGCAGTGGTTGTGGCAGACCCAGTCGAGCTGGAAGGTACCAATATATTTACAAATAATTACAAAAATCTTTTAAAATTTGACAGGCGCTCAGGCTTCAGGGTCTAGGGGACGAGGGGTAGGTAAACCCCAAACTTCAGAAATCAAACCCTTAACCCAAAACCCTCAGCAGCCAAGGGACGGGTGCCAAGCTGGTGGCACCACTTGTTGTGTCACTGGTTTGTATTCACAGTCACCAGGAGTCATGGTGACGTCATCAGGGTGACTGCAGTGACCAAAGGAGCACCCCTGGAGCAACACAACCAGCAGCCAAGGGGGGTGCCTAGGTGACTGGTCTCCAGCCCAGTGCTGCAGCCAGCACTAAGCCTACAGCAGCCAGAAGCCCCTCACTTTTGTGGCACGACATCATGGTAAATTCACGGGTGACTGTCAGGTGAAAATCATCCCCATTCAATCATGACTGAAGCGTTTTTGTAGCTGGCTGGGTCCCAGTTGGAAGCTAGCTCGTGCCAGCTGGTGCGTGCCATGGCACACGCAGCAGCAGATGCTACGTTCTAGGGCTTGCACAACTGGACTCAGCACAGTGGTAACTTGGCTGGTGTCACGGTTAAAACTTGGTGACGTAGGGGTGAAGCTATTACGCCAGCACGGCTCCAACGGAGAAACTCACCCACCCTGCCCTGCTCAACTAGCCCCATTTTTTTCCCGAGCATGGGCCAGCTGGCCCTTGAATGACGCACACTCCGGGCTTGGATGGGAGCCCAAACCACACTGGGAAGACGGCCTTAGCAAAAGCACAAGGCTCACCCCCAAGAGACCTCAGATCCCCGTCCCTGGTACCTCCAGGCCCCCTGCAACAACCCCACGAGGGGTCGAGCCCTTAACACAACACTCGTCATCTGTGTTACAAGTGCCGGTGCCCCCTTGAGGACCACTGCCGTTCCTGGACACCGTTATGTCTTTTTATGATAGTGCTTGTAGTGTGTTGCAAACCGCTCAACACCTACAGCTGGCACTCCATAACCACAATCACCTCAAGCACGTTCAGGAGCGAACGAGGACAGCAGGCATCCAAAAAAAAGGCAATTGGTCCCATGTCCAAGCCAAGTGCCCAAGCAATTGGGGGCAATCCGCAAATGGTCATGCATCAGTAAGCAACAGAGCAACCCTCACATTGCGCCCTGGTAAGGTCGCCCATGCCCAAATGGGGCCTGGATGCAGGGGCATAAGGTGCGAGAGCTTGTCGGGATCATCAGCACAAGAGAGGGATGAATCCGGGGCAAGATGGGCATAGCTGTGCAGTCCTGGTAAGAGGATTGTGTCGGCTCGCACTCATCGCGTTCGGTTTGCTCTCTCACGCCACCACGGCGGAATGTGCTTTGATTGGCATTAGGAACGAGAGCCCTCGTCCAAAAATCGCGGAGCAGGTCACGCTACGCTCGGGGCCTACTTTGACTTCCCTTTGCCTTTGCCCCCGCAGCAAGCCTTCACGGCAGGGGCCGCGCTAGCCTTTGCGGGCGCAATGAACGCATTGTGAGCTGTGTAGGCGGCCACGCATGCGCCAGCCCAGCCCACAAGGAGCACAGCGTAGGTGCTGGCCTTGGCGCCTTCGCCCTCGCCGCCAGAGCTGCCGCCGCCGCCACCGCCGCCGCCACCGCCGCCGCCACCGCCGCCGCTACCGCCATTGATCGAGCCGACATCGCCGCCATCGTTGCCGCCAACTGCAGCGACGGGGGCCACGAGGCCGCTGCGGCTACCGCCGCGGCCACCCGGGCGCTGCGGGAACGCCAGGGGCGCGGAGAGTGGAGCAGGCGCGCTAGCGAGGGGCGCCAGGCGGCTGCCGCCGCCGGCCGGGCGGTCAAAGCTGAGGAGCGGGCTGTCAAGGTTGATGGTGGCCGTAGCCGGCGCCACGGGGCCCAACCGGCCAGCGCCGCCGCCCGGGCGCGAGACGGACACTGTCGCCGCAAGGTCGCCTGCCGCAGCCGGCGCGGGCGTCGCCGTTCGCAGCGCGCCACCGCCTGGCCTGTCTACACTTGCGCTGCTGCAGCGAATGGAAACAGATGCCGCACGGCCCAGGGCGAGGTGCACCATCCTGAAGCTGGGTTTCCAGCACACTGGGAGGAGGATTGGAGTGTGATGCGCCGCTGAAGCACAGTGGCAGGGTCACTGCAGCAAGCTGTGCGCGCGCACAATTTTGAAGCAGTACGCCTGTTGAGCTTGATAGCTTGGGGACAGGGGAAACAGCGCCGGTAAAACGCTGATTTCGCTGGAGACAAATCGCGCACGGCGCACCTCTCAAGAAGGGGCACCACGCTGGTCTAGCCGGTTAGCGGGTGATCTACAAGCTCAACAACAATTCATTTGACGACGCGAGCGCGCCATGGAGGCCTAACTCCGGCACATTGCGTGATGACTGTTGCGTTCCTGCCGCGCGGGCCTGCTCAGTGATGTCTGCTAGCTTTGTAAACGTCAAAGCTGAACACATTCGAATAAGCCTCGACCCTTGAACTGCTGACGCGGGCTCCCTCGTCCCGCGCTCTGGATCGGTGTGCCCTGAACTCGGAAACTTTTGTGAAAAATCCGTGCATGTTGCCAGGAGGTAGGACTGTCTGGAACGCGCCAGCTCGCAGGGTTTGGGGCAGCATGGTCGGCGACGGAGCGCCGCTCTGCTGCGCGCGCCTGCGCTGCCTTGCGCGCTCCACTACATGGATGGGCGGACCGCGGTCGCCAACGCACCCACCAATTTTGCGTCTGCAGCAGGGGCCACCTGCGTCTCGAGGTCTTTTCGCTTGCGGGTAGGGCGTGCAGCGGCAGCAGCGATGGCGACGGCGACGGCATCGCCAGTGGCTTGGGAAGGTAGGCGGCGAGTCCTCAAGGGCGATTTCGGACATAGGGTAGGCCGGAAAACCTGCCAGCATAGGCGCCCTATGCCGCGATGTCTAACTCTGGATTTGATGCCATCACCGCTGTAGTTGCCACCAGAGGCTGCGGGCCTGGGAGGCAGGGTGACTATGTTGAGTATGTGCCCCGATCAGCAACACCATCCTCGCCTCGCACACCCGCCGCCCATGCGTGTGCCATCATTGCCGCGACGCTCCCACACCCCAACATCGCATATCAGGCCGTGGCAGCCAGTCAGATTTCATGGCGCGAGACAACTGCATCGTGGTGGACGGCCGTGACGTCATCGTGGGGTCCGCAAACAAGTACGACTGCCACCGCTTCGTGCCCGGTCAGCCGCAGGGGCGCCTGCACCGCGCCTTCAGCGTGTTCCTCTTTGACAGCAGCAATCGACTGCTGCTGCAGCAGCGGGCGGCCGACAAGATCACGTTCCCAAGTGAGAGTCAGCTCATGGGTTTGTCACAGCAGGGGGCGCAGCAGTTCAGGTGGTGCTCACCGCTCAACTGCTGCGTGCCAGCAGCAACTGACTGCTGGCACTGGTTGCGGTTGGGCCGTAACCGGTGCCCAAAACAAATTATTGTTGGCAGGAATGCTTGATTCCATGATGCTCCATGAGATAGCGACGGCATGCACGCGGGCGAGCTACCTTCGCTCCATGAACGCCGACAGAGCACCCTCCCACGCAATCGCCCTTCACATACGTGCGTGCGTGCGTGCGCCCGCGCGCCTCACAAAACCAGGCGTGTGGACCAACACATGCTGTAGCCATCAGCTGGTGGGCCAGGCGCCTGAGGAGGTCGACAGCGACGAGGACATTGCAGCCGGCCGCGCGCCCGGAGCTGAGGCCGCCGCGCGCCGGAAGCTGAGGCATGAACTTGGCATCGACCCGGTGCAGGTGCCGCCCCTGCGTTTCCTCACGCGGCTGCACTACTGCGCGGCGGACAGCGATACGCACGGCCCAGCCTCGCCCTGGGGTGAGCATGAGGTGGACTACATCCTGCTGGGCCGGGTGCCGCACGGTGCTGAGCTGGCGCTGGCCCCCAACCCCGAGGAGGTGGGCGCGGTGCGCTACGTCACGCGGCAGGAGCTGGCGGCCATGATGGACCCGGGCAGCGGTCTGCGCTGGAGTCCCTGGTTCCGCATCATCGCAGCACACTTCCTGCCGGCCTGGTGGGACGACCTGGACGCGGTGCTGGCGGACGGCAAGCACGCAGACGCGGCGCGCGTCCACCGCATAGATTGCTGACCCAGGCTGCCAGGGCGTCTTGACGGCAGACGCAGAGCGGCGGCCTTGATCACCATAGGTAGTTCCATTTCTCAGTTATGTTGCCGGGGTGTGCCCACATTTTAGAGACGAATCCCCATCGTTTGGGTGGTGGCATTTGTGCACACAATCCCCAGCGTGCGTGCGCCGGCCCCGTGGCCGATCAAACTGGCTGAGCCAGCTGGTGTTGCCGCACTTGTCTTTGACTGTGTATTTGCATGTCATCAATGCGGCGCCGCCTATGTGTCGGTCTGGATCCAAGCTGCAAGTTGCGCATGCACTTTGATAAATTACACAGTTAACATCAACTTTCTTATGTGCCAGCAGGGATTGCAGTTTAAATCGTTCTGGAAGGTGCAAGAAGGGCGGGCCATGCAGCGCGTTTGACTGCGCCGCAAGGGGCGTGCCAGGAGGCGCGCAGCGACGAGGATTGGCAAGTGTGCTGGTGAAGTCCGATCGATGTACACACAAAACCTCAACATCGGCAAAATGCCCTCCCAGCCGTCCTCAACATGGCTGGTGACACTAGCAATCGCGCGCAGAAATGGAGCGCACATACGGGTGGCATGGCACAATATGAAATGGAATGGGTGCGCACCGTCAGGAAACCGCAGCGCGGGATCCTCCGCACATGTAGACGCCTGGTAAAAAACTGCACGCCAGCAACTTGGTGAGGGGTATCCCATGGCAGTGTTGGGTCTGCTGTGGACTGCCTCGCATGAACTAAGCACTGACCCCATCGTCGCCGCCGCTGACGGGCGACCCCCTCCCCCTCTTACGTCCTGACACAGCGCGAAGAGCCTCTGCCGCTCCTGACGCCTCCAGGTCTGCAGCCGCGCCGACCACGGGCGCCCCAGGCCCCTGTGGCGAGGCGTCCTCCTCGGTCTCCATGGGCGTGCCACTGGGGCCCTCGGTGGCCGCGCTTGGCCCCTCTGCAGGGGGGCAGGCCTGCCTCACTCCAGCGAGCGGGACTGCCGCAGTCAGCACGTGCCCGTCCTCGGCCGCAGCAGCCGCGGCATGGCTCTCTGGCGTGACAGAGGCCTCAGGCGGCGACGCGGCGGTCAGGCTGCCCGCGCCGCTGCCCCCACTGCCGCTCCTTCCAATTGCAGAAACTGCCACCCTGAGCTTGGGCTTGCGCGCCACCGCGGGCTGCAGCACCCTCTTGCTGCCCGGCACCGTTGAGGCGGGCCTGGGCAGCGCTGCGTCGAGCGCGGCCTGCGCCGCCGACGTGTGCGGCTGCGGCGGCGGCGAACCTTGCTGCGGCAGGAGCAACGGCAGCTTCTGGGGTGTCGGGGCTGCAGGCTCCTCCAGCTGTGGCTTCCCATCATGCTGGTGCTCCTGCTCTTCGCACTCCTCATCCGCATGCCGGCGGCGCTGCTGCAGCCCTTGCGGAAGCCGGGCAGGCTTTGGCTTCTGCTTCTTGTGCTGTTTCTGCTGCCACTGCCTGTGCTCCTGCATCTGCTGCCACTGCATGGCCTCAAAGCGCTGCTGCTGCTGGATCATTTGGTCGAATTGGCTTGTGATTGTCGCGTAGGCTTCGCGGCTGCGAACCCGTCGGCGCGGGGGTTGCATTGCAAGGGGTGAGAGGTTGGGGCAGTGCAGGTGCTGGAACTCGGTCAAAAAGGGGTGAGGGCAAGTGTGCAACAGCTCGGCATACACGTCACATGTCAAGTGCGCAATCTGTCCAGGAAGAATTCGCACGTGCACTGCGTGTGGAGCACTGGCCGTGATCGGTCCGTGTGTGGCGCGCACCTCCGAGGCGACAGCGGAGGGAACGTCGCTGCGTCGACAGCCAGCCCCAGCGGGCCCAGCAGCTGCTGCGCGCCAGCAGCGGCCTGGAACGCCTCGCTGCTGCTGGCGGGGCTGTCACCAGGGCTCTGTGCAGGCGCGGTACCCTGGGGTGAAGCGGACATTAATTGCAACGAGCGGAGTGGACATGGCAGTTGAGACAAAAAGCAAGGTGCAGAGGTGGGTCACGAGCGCAAGAGCACGCACGAGTCAACACGCGAAGGCGCAGTGCATATGTATTGTCCAGGGGGTGGCGTTCGCCTGCGCATGTCTGCGCACCTGTGTGGTCCCTCCTGCACCACCGGCCATGGGCCCAAGGCCAAAGCCATTGGCCCAGACGTTGCCATACAGCATCTGCAGTGCGATGGGGCCGAGCAGGAGGAAAGTTGAGGGGGCCTGGGCGCTCACGGCGAGGAGGTGTTGATGAACGAGAATCATGATAGAAATCCCTCACGTCACATAATAGCACAATGAGCGCACGGCAGCGGCACAAGGGGCGCCCTCCCGCACACGACACCCGACACGCAACGGCAGCGCCAGAGCAGGCGCGCGCCTCACGTCGTGCGGCGTGTAGCGCTCGTGCGGCTCCAGCACGGCCTTGCCATACTGTTCCAGCACGGCGTCCATCTCTGCTGTGGAGAACTGGGTCAGGCGCCCTTTGTCGTCAAACATGACCAGCGCCACCTGGGAGTTGCACATCACGGCCAGCTCCATCGCCTTGCGCATCAGGCTGCGCTTGCGCTTCTCATAAGTCTCCTGTGCGTTGATGGCACACGTCGGCCAACTTAGGAGTGTTATGGCCAGGCAGGGCGCCATGATGCGGCAGATCGGCGTGTGGTGCGCCGCCGTGATGCATGCGCACACGTGGACCCGCTGCGTGCAATGCAGCGCCGGCCCCCTTGGCCGCAGCCTCTGCGGCCCTGCAGCACACCTGGCGGAGACCTCCCTGCTGGATGTACCGCAACTCCGTCCTGTGCCTCATGGTTAGGCGAGAACGAGTGCCTATGGGTCAAGATCACAGGTGCTGCTCGCTCTCCGCTGCGCTAGGAGCCTCACACATACGCATGAGATGCCTATGATTCACGATGAATGAACGTGGCGGCTCGCGTGGCGCCCATCAAGAGAAAGCGCCACTCGAGCGCCAACCTGCCTGCCGCGTTCATACGAGCTCCTGGAATGGTCGGCACGCTGCCCGAGCGTTCTTCAAAGAATTCAGAATATCACACATAACGTTGTGCGCCACCTTCGAGGAAGCATAAGCAACAGGACCGGGCAGATCACAGCGAAGATCTGTTCCGTGCCGTTTTACCTCATATACGACAACGGGAGAGTCTCAGCGCGAGTGGGATGGAGCAGCAGCAGAGCAGCTCCGGGCTGGAGTTCAAGCTCCACCCGGTGGGCCCCGCAGCTCGACCGACGCCCCCTTGCGCCCGCGCCGTGCCACCGGCGACTGTCCTGTTTGCCACGGCACTGCGCAGCAGCCTCTGCAAAGGGGAATCCCATACACAAAACGATCCTTGGCCCCACGCACCCTTGTGCCTGTCCCACCAGCTCGTGATGATCAACGTCAGCGACCACCACACTCGCGTCAAGGCCAACTCCCCCAGCGGGGCGGCGGCGCCCGTCATGGGCTGCCTGCTGGGATCCCAATCGGGGCGCGTGGTGGACATCAGCAACTCTTTCGAAATCGACTACACCCTGCAGAACGGGAGGGTGGTCATCAACGAAGCCTTCCTCACGCGCAAGACGGAGCAGTGTGGGTGGGCTGCGACGTAGGCGGGCGTGCGCACGCTGCCTCTTGCCATACATGGACTGGCAGCCGCGCCGGTGAAATCAATGCAAGCATGTTCACCCCTGTACAAGCACCTGAGTGCGTCACGTTGTAATTGCAAGCTGTGCAGGCATTTCAAGCTGACTCACAAGAACGCCCTGCTTGCTCCTTGCCGCTGCCGCGCCTATCCTGCCTCATCACTGTTTGCTGCAGACAAGCAGGTGTTCCCTAAAGTAGACATTCTGGGCTGGTACGCCACAGGCGCGGCAGTGGAGGACGCCCACATGCACATACACAAGCGGGTGAGCTGCCCGCTCCCGGTGACGGCACCCCCTGGTGCCAGGGTCAATGTGCTTGCACTCTCATGTGCATCTCCTGTTCCTTCGCCAAGCCCGAGTTTTGAAAATTGCACGTGTGCGCGCTTTTTCAATGCGTCTGGCGCCTGTGGCAGCAGTCAGATCTACACGGGTATGTTGCGTCGGCCATCTGTGTGCAAGCGGCCCCCTCCCGTCTGCTTTTACGCACAGCTTCGCCCGTAGCACATCCACCCCACCCTCACACCCCCCCACGCCATCCCCCCTGGCACAAATTGCAAATAACCCTGCGCGCGCGCGGTCTCAAGATCTCCGAGATCAACGAGGCGCCCGTGCTGCTGCTGCTCAACCCGGCCGTCACCCCGGGGCGCCGCGACCTGCCCCTGGAGCTGTACGAGACGGAGCTGCACGTCACTGAGGGCCGCGCCGCCTTCAGCTTCGTCAGGGCCAACTTTCTGGTGGAGGTGACCACGCTGCTGGGGAGGGCGTGGGGGGATGGCCGGGCTGCAATGGGCGGGCTGCAAGGCGCAGGCTGCGAGGGGCGGGCCGCAGGGGTCAGGCTGCCAAGGGCCGGGCCGCTGGGTTGGCACAAGTTGAAGCATCAGCCGATCGAGCAAGTTCTGGAGTGTTGTGGTGTCGGTCATTTGCTGCTCAGCCTGTCAGCCTAGCCAGGCCAACGTGCGGTTACATCCTTCTTCCAGCTTGGCACACAGAGTCGGCCCCTGCAGCCAGATCGCCCCCAACGCAGCATTGGTTGCCCACCTCAGTCGTCCTGAGACCTCAACGGTTCTCGCCCGCACCCGCACCCACACCTTGCCCCCCACCCTCTGCCCTTTCTCCCCTTCTCAGACCTCTGATGCGGAGCGCATTGGCGTGGACCAGGTGGCCAAGATACTGCCAGGCGGCAAGGCCTCGGGCAGCGAGCAGCGTGAGCTCCTTGAGGCCCTTGGGGAGGCGGGGAGGCGGCCCGACGCCACGGTTTTACTAGGGCATGCGGTGGCAGGTGCCACAGCGCGTGTTTCTGCACGACGCTGCCCTACTGACTTTGGCGCCCAGGAACCGCATCTGGTTCACTTACTGTTATCATTATTTCCTTCAACCCCCCACCCTCTCCCAAACTGCGACGCACAGCACTCCACCGTTCTGCTTTAACCCCCCGCCCAATGCAACCACGTCCGCAGTAACTGCGCATTTGATGGGGTTGCACAGCGCTATCAAGATGCTGCAGCAGCAGCTCCTCACACTGCAGCAGTTGACGGCGCGTGTCAACAGCGGTGAGGGCAGGGCTTCAGCCAGGGTTGTGTGCATTGCCCTGGTTTCACACTGGCGTCACCTTGGTATCTGGTCTGCAACAGCGCGTCACCCTCACCAATAACTGCACTACTGCGCAGGAGAGGTGGCCTATCCTCACGCACTCGCACGCCAAATCAGTGCGCTGGTTCACTCGCTGCCAGCCCTCTCCAGCCACGCCTTTGGTCACGACTTCCTCCTGGTGGGGCCGCCTCGCGATGCGGATGGAGAGATAATTCAAAGTGCCATGAAAATGTTCTGCACCTATGATCTGTGCATTTTATTCTTTCGCTGCCAGCCGTGCCGCTCAAAAGGCAGGAAAGCATGGCGTCGCTCAGGGGTACGCAAGCATGCGCTTGAAGGACGCCCTCCCAAACAGACGTAGATTCTTCTTGCCCCCTCCATCACGTGCGAATGCACACCCGACCCCGCCTCCCACAGGAGCACAATGACGCGCTGGCGGGGCTCTACCTGGCGACGCTGACCAAAGGCGTGGCGGCCCTCAACGACACGGTGGACAAGATGGTCTTCGCATTCGAGCCCGGCCTCAAGTCGGGAGGGGCGGGCCCGCGGCGGCGCGGCGGCGGGGGCGGGTTTGGCGGGCCGGTGATGTGAGCGCGTGCCGCGGATTCTTGAAAATATGCACAGCTTTTGCATATCACTGTATCATGCCATAAGGGCAGGGTGAGAAGCGTTCCGTTCGCAACCTGGCACCCCCTTCGCCCATGCCCTTGATGTAAATGAAAGTCACTAGTGTATAGCCCAGGTGTTCGTGGCAGTTTCGTGTTGCAATGTGGCAGGGAGTGTATTCTTGGACCTGCAACGGCACAATGGAGTGCGCGGCTCCATGAGCGGGACATGGCACACCGGCGCCGTCAGCGCGCACATGACAAGGCACCGAAGCGACTAGGCTACTGATGCACCGGCGACCGTAGAATGTTGGTATCATATCGAGCAGCTGTCACCACTGGTCGGGCCCGTTGTGCGATCAGGGTGCCACGGTCTAACGCCTGATCTACGTGCGAAAGCAGTTCCACAACGAAACTATGCCAGGCACATCAAGCCTGTCGCAATGTATGCGTCGATGCATGCAGCCCTGTGTGGCCAAGCGGCAAGCGCAGGCATGTTCGAGCGGCACCCCGCTTGAGCTCCGCCGGGCGCAGCCACAGCGGCTCGTTCGCACCATGGCGGCGAGACGCCCTACCTCCGCATCGCCGTATGAAGGCATAGAGTCAGGCCTGCAGATCATCGAGGTGGCAGCTCTTAGCACGGCGGCGCTGGTGCAGGTGGCGGTGCTGATGTCGACTGCGGGCCAGGCGCAGCGACGGCGACCAGCAGCCGTGGACACTACCGCCCTGGCGCTCGCTACACAGGGGAGGCAGCAGCATCAGCCACAGCAGGCGCGAGCGCTTGCGCCGCAGGTCGCGGTGGCCGACCTGGCGGCAGTGCTGCCCGCACCCTCGGCCCTGGCGCCCCTCCAGGGCTTTGCGCTGGTCGTGGCGGTCATGTGCAGCGCCATCCTGCGGCGGTTGCAGGGCGCCAGGTGAATAGTGATCTGTCCGCTCTCAGTGATGCGTGCCGGTTGACGAGGGTACGTGGCAGGTAGTCCTGGCTGACGTTGCGTGACAGCACAGCGGTCGCAACCTTCCGCGGTGCACCACCTGTGTCGCACTGCCCCGCTCAATCTCGCCGCCCACCCCAGAGCCCTGCTGCGCGGCTTGCCAACCGTGGATGCAGCGGCGCGTCTGCTGCGCTTGGAGGGGGAGCTGCAGCAGCAAGCGGCGGCAGCAGCACTCGCCAGCCGCCAGCTCGACAAGCTGCAGGCTCGGGTGAGGCTGTCCACTGCAGACCTCAAGTCACCGATACGACAGCTGCAGGACGCTGGCGCGGCGCAGGCAGACGTGGCAGTGCGCCTGGCCGAGCAGCAGTCTGCCCTGGCGCGACAGGTGTCCGGCCTGGAGGAGGTTGTCGCGGCGCTGCAGGGCGTGGGGGCGCGTCAGTTCCAGGTGGGTGTGCGGCGCTTGAGGGCCGTGCGCAGCGCCAAAAGGGGGCTGAGCGTATTTGAGCTGCGAAGAGCAGCCCTTGTGTAACCTCAAGTGACCCATTTGCTCATGGTGCTCTTCACCGCCCAGCATGCTCCTTGAATATGTTGCCCTTGTGGTGTTAACCCCCGACCCTCCCCCCAACAACCCCGTGGGCGTCTCCTGCAGGTGTGCATTGACGCGCTGGGAGTGCTCAAGCAGCAGCATGCCACGACGGCGGAGCGCCATATACAGCAGCTGGTCAAGGTGCAGCAGCAAGTGGCGGTGCTGAGCGATGGCATGGCACGCGTGCAGGCGCAGCTGCCGCAGCAGCAGCAGCCTTATCCCAGTCGGGCACCTGCGGGGATCGGCACCGCCGTCAGGCTCAACGGCAACGGCAAAGGGGGTGTGGAGAGCAGCGCGGCAGTGCACACCCCTGACCCCTGGCTGAAGCCCTGAGCGCATTACTGTTGCCTGGATGTCTGTTGCACAATGTGGCGCTTGATTCAGCACGTGTGGTTGATTTATGCTAGGAGAACAGGCATAACACCCACGCACACACACACACACGCATAAACAAACACATTGAGTGTAATTCTTCTTGCAACTATAGTTATCAGGGTAGCAATCACAATGCAGTACGAGCGTTTCTGAAGGGCTATGTGGCTTTGGCGACCAACGACACGGTCCAGCCACTGCTCAACTTGAGTCCAGCTGGCGAGCACAAACAGGCCCCAGCGAGGCACACATGCAGCTGTTCTTGTTGTGAAGAGCGAAATACGGGCACGTGCTCCCATGCCGCATCGCTGCTCGGCCTGTCCACATCAGCACTGATGAAGGGAAGGGCGATAGAGCACAGCAGGGGCAGCACGCAAGAGCATGAACAAGTGCGACGGATGCGCCCCACGGGAAGGCATTGGCTCCCGCATCCGTCACTGAACGTCACTCCTTATAGGGATTTATGTGGGCTGTATTACCAAGCCGCTCACGATAGGCGCGATTTTGTCAGGCTCCCGCGTCTAGATCTCGGAGCGGCTGTCCACGGCTCCTGATCGCAGCTATGGGGACGTGTGACTTCTGTGGAGGGGCTATACAGGGCCACCAGGTGAAGATGGGAGGCTCATCGCCGGGATACGCGACGCGAGCCCAGCGCTCAACCTCGGGCTCTTACGCAAGCCTCTGCGAGCCGGGATCTGAGAGGGGAACGTGGTAGATTCCACTTTGAACCAGTGGCCCACATCACGGGGTGTCCTGCACAGCGTCGCCTCGGCGCCCTCGGTCGCGGTGCGCATGCCAGGTCGAGCTGCCCTGGCATGTTGAAGCCGAAGCGCCGGCACGCAACGTAACACTCTTTTGACGCGCAGGAGTATCTGCTCGTCAGCTGCAGCCGCGGCTGCGAGGACGACCCCTACCATGCCGCCTGCATCCAGCGCTACCTTAAGGGCCGCCCGGCGCCAAAAGACTGGATGGAAGGCGGCTGGCAGTGCCTCAAAGGGCGCGGCGGGTCGTACGGCCAGCCGTGCAAGGGGCAGGTGATGAGTGGCGCAAGGTTGAGCTGTGCTCATGCATGACTGTTGAACCTGTGGCCGCTCGCCATGCGCACAGATACGCATGCATGCAAGAGCAACAAAACAAATGCCTGCACTGGAAACTACCAAACTACCTTCCCCTTTGCTGCCAGGTCGAGTGGGTGGAGGCCAAGCAGGCTGATGAGGCCACTGAACAGGTAAGGCAGCAGTTCGTGCATTAGGGTGTTCACCGGCAAGAAATGCAAGGCCCCAAGCGCGGCGCTGCGGCCACCAATAGTGATGCATTTGGATTGGCGCAGAACCTCAAAGATGACTATGCGTGCATGCGCACATGAGACACTGCACAAGTGTACGTGGCGCCTCTGAGCGCGGCCCTTTTGACCATGAGCCTGCAATTCACCTGCACTCATGACGCGCAGGACACCAGCGAACTGCCACCCAGCCGCGCGGCAACGGGCCGGGGAGCGAGCTTCCAGCTGCCGTCTGCGAGGGTCATGTGGGCAGCGTGGCTGATGAGATCTGGATGTGATTGCGATTGCGTGGCCATATCAGCAGCGTTCATGCATGTCATTGCCGCTGCACTTGCCATTGCTGCTGCGTATGTCCCTGCTGCTGTGCGCTGCTTGCACTTGCCGCCCCGCATGTGCCGGCCACACCAGCTCCAACGCCCGTGTGCCATTTGCACCCTCCATGCATCCAGTGTCGAGGTCCCCAAGGCTGACCCTTTGGGCCGCAAGATCCCATGCGACGTTGCGGCCAGCAGCAAGGCCGCCAAGAAGAACGCGCGCCGGTCCGCCAAGCGCGTCGGCGCGGTGCGCGGCGGAGGCCGCGGCGGCGGGCGCGGCGCCGGCGGTGGTGGTGGCGCGTACAGTGGCTCCCAGAACTCGGATGATGATGATGACGAGGATGACACGGACGAGGGCGAGGGCGGCGGCATGATGGCCGGCAGCGGGGGGTATCATGGCGGCAGCGGCGCCTGGGGCGCCTGGAGCAGCGCTGGGGCCAGGCCCGGGTCGGCAGGCTCGGGCAGCAGCGGGGGTGCAGGCGGCGGAGGTGCCAAGCTTGGGCGCAGCCCGCAGCAGGGCGCAGGGCCGACTGTTCACGGTAACGACACCCTGCTTATGGAGGACGACCCGCGGCTGGGGCAACGCGGTGACGACGATGAGTGAGTTGCTTGCAGCGGGCTTTGAGATGCTTGGAGGATTGTCGGGCACCGTCCTGCTGGAGCATGGTTCCGCTCGCAACAGCTAAACGGCTGTTTTGAATGGGCAGGCCCGCGCCCTGATACGCAACGGGTGGTAGTGTCGAATTATTCTTCCCCCGCATGCATGTGCACTGATGACCACCCTCTCCTTGCCCCGCCCCCAGCTTTGGCCTGTCTATTCCGGCATCGGCTGTGCGCGCGGCGGTCGCCTCGTCTGCCCTGCCCTTCTTCACTGGTGACGAGGAGGCGGACGACCCGTACGACCAGGTGGGGGGTCGGCCGCGTAGCACTGCTGTTGACAACGCGCAGCCTTGCTGCTATACTTTTGCGCAGGAAGCTGCCTGCAGCAGCAGCACATTGCGAATTTCTGTGACGCAGGCAAGGAGGGCTGTCCTGACGCGCTGCTGCTGTCACGACCCATGCGCGCCCAACAGGAGATCAGGCCTGGCATGCGGCCGCCACCCGTGCGACCTCACGTCCAGGTGAATTGGGTCCGGCTTTGGGTCACGTTAAAAAGTGGGCACGAAGATTAGCAAGCAGGGATGTGCAACAGGGTTCCACACAACAGGCATGGCACGTAGAGTAGAAGCAGCACATGTGCTGTCCCAGTCTCTCCCTGTCCCCTTCAGGAACCTTGCAGTCAACAGCCCACCCCTGCCAACTGTCAACGCATGCGCAGGTTGACCCCAACTGGGGCCGCGTCGGCGCCCTGGGCTCCTCTGGGTCGTGGTCAAACCCAGACCAGGAGGTGCGCCCCACCAGGGGGCCAGGCGGCGGCCGGGGCGGAGGCGGCCGCAGCGGTGCCGGCCGCGGCACAGCCGGTCCCGGCCAGGGCGGCGCTGTGGCGGACAGCTTCACGCCCAGCTTTGCTTCGTCGGGCGGTGGCGCGGGCCGGGGCCGCAAGCCGTCGCCGCTGGCTCGCACGACCCGACCGGACGATCCTGTCGTGCCGCTCCCCTCGGCAGCAGCATGGGGCAAGCAGCCAGCGGCCTCCACCACACGTGATTGTCCCGGCGCCACTGCCGCGCCGGGCTCGTGGGCAGCCAGGCTCGCGGGCCGCCCTGCCGCCTCAGCTGCACGCGGCCCTCCGATCAGCAGCAAGGACCCTGAGGCAGCAGTCAACGAGATCATGGGCCGCATTGTCAAGTCCATGCCGCAGCTGACCACCACTTTGCTGCGCCCCGACGGCGGCGGCGTTGCGGCGCTGCACGCAGCGGTGGCAGGGGCGTGCGAGGAGCTGGCTGCGGCGGTTGAAGGCGGCCGGGAGGGCGAGGTGCTGGCCTTGCTCGAGGCCTTCACACCAACGCCGCCGCGTGAGGCTGGCCCCACCGCCCCCGCCGCTCCCACTACCCTCGCCGGCAGCACCAACGGAGATTTGAGCCAGGGGACAGCCAGCTGCAGTGCGGCTGCTCCTCTAGGCCAAAACGGTCCAAATGGCGTAGGCCAGGGTGCACACACAGGGGTCCCGCAACCCGCGCCCCCTGTCAAGGTGGTGGTGCCGCAGCAGGTGCAGCCGGCCGCGCCTCAGGTGGCGCCGCCCCCTGCTGCCGTGCAGGTTGCCCCGGCGGCCGCGCAGGCGCCATGTCAGCCTCCAGCTTATCAGGCGTCGCTCCTGGAGAGGCTACCCTCTGAGCTGCAGGCCGCGCTGGCCAAGCCGCAGGGCCACTCCGCAGTCGCCACCTTTCAGGTGCGCTTGTATTGAGCGTCACCACAGCTTGCGTGCAGCCAGAGCCTCAATACAATACTGGTAGCCAGCAAAGGCAGGCCGCCGTGGCAAAGGGGGTGCACCAATGCGTGCCTTTTGCCAGTCACACCCGATGGCCCACTGCACGGCTTCTAGTGTGTTCACCTGTTCCCTCCGCCCTCCCTCAACCAACACCTAAAAGCAGGCTCACTTTGACACCCTGGCTCCTGCCGCCTCAGCCCCCAACGACCTGCTGGCTGCCGGAACCCAGTATCCCGCCCCCGTGCCCGTGCCATTCCTGTCGCCCGTGACATCAGCAGCGCCCCTGCTCAGCCTGCCGCGTGCCGTGGCCGCCTCTGGCGCCGCTCCCTCGGGGGCGCCCGGCGGCTTCCCACCGCCGCGCAGCCTGGGCCCCCTGCCTCCGGCGGCCGGCGGCCCGCCTGTACACTCGCAGGGCCCGCCGCTGTTTGGCGGCCCCCCGCCCGGCTTTGCTCAGCAGGCGCCGCTGGATGCCGCCCTGGGGGGCATGCGCCCCATGCTGGGCGGCCTCGAAGCGCACGGCCCACAGTTCACCCTGTCGCACGGCAGCGGCCCGCCAGTTGGCACGGGCATTGGTGCGCCTTTCAACCCGACATCGCAGCTCCTTCCACACAGCATGCCCCCCGGGGCGCTGGCGGCGCAGCAGTCCCAGCACCAGCACCAGTCCCAGCACCACCACCTGCACCAGCACCACCAGCAAGGGGGCGCCTTCCTGCCGGTCCCGGGACAGCACCCCTTCGCAGCACCGGCCAGCCGCGGCCCTCCCACAGTTCTCGCTTCCCAGGGGCCTGCCCCGCACCTCAAGCACGCGGCGCCACCTGGCTTTGCTGGCCCCACCCTGGTCAGCGCAGCAGCAGCGCCGCCGCAGGCTGGCGGAGGGCCGGCGGGGCCCGCCCCCTACCTGCCACCTCACCTGCGCGCCTCGCATGTGTCCGTGGGGGCAGCTGCCAAAGGACCGCCGCCCGGCTTCGGGGCTGGCGCGGCTGTCGCGCCATCTGGAGGCGGTGGTCCGCAGATTGGAGGCCTGGTGGGCATGCTGGCGCGCAGCGGACGGTCGTGAAAGGGGGGAACTGTTCGGTAGGAAATGGGTGAGGCTGCTGGGTGACAAACGGGGTCCTTATTATTCTTTTGGGCCGCGGGGTTGGCAAGAGTGTCAGATGAACATTGCGTCTTGACGAAAGCCGTGTGGGTCACAGGCCGCGGATCGTTTGGGTACAGCTGGACGCCGTCGCTGGCCCAGGTAGTCCACGCCTACGACGTCCGCATCGCTGCATGCACTCGACTTATGTGCTCAGCATCTGTCGCCAGGATATCGCGTCGCGTGGTCATGGAACGCATGGGTTTGGCGTGCACGGCGTTTCAATGAGTGTACGAGCACCATCAAATGGGGCGTCTGCTGGAGCATCATCGCTCCTGGGCCCCAACCTTTCCAGCCCTCTGCGGCCAGCTTCATGTTCAACTAAGCAACATTAGCATTCACACGCGTTTGTTCCGCGGTAAACCTCATGCTTCGCCGTGCGATGCCTGCTTTAACGAGCGCCAGCCTGATCATTTCGTGTGCCCAACTTGTCGTCACTGAGCCATGAGGCAACTCAGCCATGCGCCGGCGAGGTCTCCTGTGAGGTCAACCAGCTGGATATATCAAAATATTACTCAGAAGCTGTGTGATCACGCTTCAGCCAGTCACGCCACTCGCCGCAATTTGAAAGGCGCCGCCCCGGCTGGTGCTGACAGCGAGTAGTAATCAGACGCCCGCAACGCTGCATCAGTGCGCGGCTTAACAGCGCGCAGCAGAGGAGAACTATCAGCTGTACGCATAAGCATTGTACCCACAGAACGTTCGCATTGCAGGGCCCTGCCATCACATGCACAATGAAGCGAGCAATCCTGCAGAGACTACCCTCGTAGCCTGCCGTCGGAGCAGCCTTCGCACATACTGAGGGGGCGTACGACTCCATTGTGCAGCCGCGAGGGCCCGCGGGACAGCTTAGCGATGGAGATGACCCAGCACCAGGGGGAATACAAGCCACTGCCAAGGTATGCGTGTTGTAAGCGAAATATTGCATCCTCTGCGCCCCCATTGCTCGCCGCGTGCTGCTGAGGCACCAGCGGTCAAGCGCAGCGCCCTTGGCGCGACGCGCCCGCTGCGCGCCATCATACACCCCACCGTTGGACGCTTCCCCTCGCTTCTGCCTGGCCACCCCCCTTGCAGCCTGCCCGAGGCTGAGGGCGGCCCAGCGTGGCCGGACCTCGTGGGCGGTGAGGATGTCGAGTGGGCAGCCATCAGCAACCTGGACGCGTTTTTCACGCGCATCTACAGGTGCAGAGCGCGCCTAGTTCGGCGGTGTCGTGTGCGGCGTCGATGAGTGGCCAACAGTAGAGCCGCTGTTTGCGGTGAAATAGGAAAAGTCAGCCAAGATAGCATTCCCACCAGCAGAAAGCGGCCGCTGGCACTCCAGGATAGGGTGGAGGTGCATTGGCTCCAGCACAGCCATGTTGATCCCTCACCATCCCGGGCTGCTCATCTCACCTTCTCTCACCAAAGTCTTGAGACCCCTGCCAGCACCCCACACACCCACGTGTGTGTGCGGCAGTGTGCGCACGTGTGCAGCCAGCCCCCTGACCGAAACGGTCCTATTGCCCCCATCCCTCCCACCCCCTTTGGCCCCACACACCCCGCCCCCCCCCC